TTAAATTTCGCTAGGTTCTTCAATTCAGTTTTCCTTAAATTTAACAAAGTTCTGCCAGGCAGCATCAAATTTAAATAAGAATGTAAATAGACTAGATCCGACCGAGAGATTAACTTCTAAGGTTTAAGGGCTTCGATTGGACTTCAAAGCATGGCTAAAAATGTAGCTATTAAATTCCATTTTAAAATGTGTGCTATAACTCTCCGTCCTATAAACGTCCTCTTAAAACAAGAAAGGAGGCTAGCTTCGGCTAGTCGAAGCTTATATGCCCTTGCAGATCAAAATATAAATTACAAAATGTTAAACTACGTATTATTTTGACATTATATTTTCTATCCTTCCTATAATATTATATTTAATAAAGTCGTTCGATCAATGTTAAATATAATCAAATAAAAACACCTCTTAACGAGGTAAAAAACTAGTGACGATCGCACCTTCAACATACAAAAGTTCTGATATCAACATTTGTGACGAAAAATTATTACACTCGTCATTAAATAGACTTTCTAATATTTTCTCTTTCGGCCCGCCCTAGCAAACTATTCCGGTCTTTTTCCCTTCACAGGCATTTTCTATTGCAGCGTGCCGAATGAGAAAATATTAGAAAGTCTATTTAATGACGAGTGTAATAATTTTTCGTCACAAATGTTGATATCAGAACTTTTGTATGTTGAAGGTGCGATCGTCACTAGTTTTTTACCTCGTTAAGAGGTGTTTTTATTTGATATCAGAAGTTTTTGTTTGTTTACATTTGCTCTCATAGGAGCTAATATATACATACATTTAAATTTAAAATGGTCAATCATAATTTATAAGCCATTGTATTTAAACAAATTAAGTTAAAAAGGCGTTTAAGTATTTCAAAATACCTTTTAAACGATGTATAGCACATGTCGGTACCTTTAGTAGTGTAGAACTTACAAACTAACGAAATTTAGCTATTTTTAGCTTTTTCCCGCTAAAGTAGCGGCTTTTTCCAAAAGTCGTAGAACAAAAGATTCCTATATTCTTAAGATTCTTAAGTGCAAATTTACTGATTCCATGACCCTAAAATACAGTTCGGATACCCTCCCACAAAATTCAATACTCAGGGAGCGTTAATTGGTCGAGCTGGCAAAAGTGGCCATTGTCGAATAAAAATAACTTTTAAACGTGACTTTTTACAGTAATGTGTTATATACCAAAATTTAAGGAATCTCAAGGGCTATACAGTTTAAGGTTTTAAAGAAAATCGTTAGAGCCGTTTTTGAGAAAAATAAAAAAAGCTAAAAAAAAAGTTTTAAAAAATTGTCTTTTTGCATATAGAAGGCGTTTATAGCATTTAAAAATACCTTTCAAACGAGATGCAGCACAAGCCTGTAGCTTTAGTAGTATAGAAGTTACGGCTTTCCGAATTTTAGCTATTTATAGCTGTTTTCCCGCTAAACTAGCGAGTTTTTCCAAAAGTGGTAGAACAAAAGTTTTTTATATCGATGTGATCAACGTCATATCAAATTTTCAAAACTTAAAAAACATGTTTTGGACAAACTGACAAACTGACAAACTGACAAACTGACAAACTGAATTAAATTTTCATTTTGGGAAGACGAAGGAAATCTTATTTTGGCTATAACTTTTGAACGGAGCGTCGGATTTTGACAAATGACCCCTCATTCGACGGGTATTTTCAAAAGGAATACAATTAAAATATTGCGAGGGGGCATTTATCCCCAGCGGCCCCAACAGCTCCAAATTTCGATATTTTCACTTTTTCACTTTCACCGCTCTCTCTTCCAAGCCAATTGATTTTCTTAAAGTCTTGGTATGCAATCCTGTTAGTTTTTGCAATACCTTTCGATAGGTGTATCATTCATTATGATCGGACCATCACAGTAGATTTTCATTTCTTCGTGTATATATAGTAGTCGCCTTCGCACACTCTCCTGGTGCGCTTCGTCACTACATGGACTGCCGTCCATAGTGATTAAAAATTCTGAAATAATAAAAAAAGTCATTTACCAGAGTAGAAAAGAATACAATTTATAAATTAATTTTCTGATCGTTCCTATCGTCCGATTTTGATAAAATTAAATTCAAAATTCAGAATTATTAAAAAAAATGCTTTTTCCAAGCTTAGGAGGTTATTTATAAAAAAAATACCGAAGCTATAATTTTTTTTATTAGTTTTTTTTATATTTCCTATGGTAGCTATACGATATAGTATATTAGAAATATTTATACTTTATAGGGTCGCAAACTTCTGACTGAAATCTGAATACCCTCTGCAAGGCAATAAAAATATATAAATAAATCAGTTCTCTCACATACATAAATATAAAACAATAATGTATAAGTATATAGCTTATGACTTTAATTTAAATGTAAATTTATCTACCTCCAAGTCTCGTTTGTTGAATTTGTAATGCTAGCTTGTATGACGGACAACTGGCAGTTCCCCACCAAGAATGACCATGTGATATGGCCTCATTAGGACCGCACAAGAGAGCAGTTTCCCCTGCTGCCAATTATAGTTTCATCAGTCACTTGGCCGTAACGCAACCTTCGCTTCCTTTTTGTCTGGCCTGGTCGAATACCGAACCCACCCAGAGGGGGATGGCCAAAAACACATATCTTCTGGTCCACTGGCCAGATCAATCGGTAGTCAAGCGTTTTATGGCCTTTATGTGAGCGTGTGGGGAAAGCGGGGGCGGACTTTGTTAGGCATGGTGCCATCATCGTCAATGGCAACATGCTTAGCAATTGATTGCTAACCTTGTTTGTCCCGACCAGAAGCGGACTGACGAGCGAACAGGAGCGGGCAGCAGGACACGGACGCTGTCAGGACATCGCAGAGAAGCCCCACCTCTCCTCGTGACCATGGCATAATTATCGGGATATCTGTCCGGCTAATCAAGGTGTGGAGCGAACAAAAGCGTACACCAGAAACAATCCCCGAAACTAGTCGTCTAGTCGTATTTGGTTTGTCTGCTCAAGGAGGGTTTATTAGTAAGCACAGTGGCGGATCCAGAATTTGGTTGTGCTGACCTTTTCAGAAAAGAATTATTTTTTACCCAATAGGCAGGAATTTATTCACCATAAATGATAAATAATTTGTTCAAAAAATAGTGATAAATAATAATAACAATTATAATATTTTAATATTAGTATTATAAGTATGGTTTTTAAAATTGATTTTAATATTATCTTCATATTAATAATTTATTTTGTAATTTAACGAATACAATTAAATTGAACTTTGTTTTTATTTGCCAGTTTGCATTCTATGACTAATTAGCACTTTTGTTTTGCCTACGCTATTTCTCCCAGTGTAGCAATTATGATGTGGCCAGCATCAAAGCAGCTGCATTCAAGCTAATTGAGGGGCTTAATGCAGGGGTTAAAGTTTAACCCGATCGGGTCGCAAAGTCGTTAGGCCCAGCTGCTGTTGACCCGCTTAATTCCGAAGATAGAGATGCGCTCATAAATTCCCTGGCAATTGACGCAGTTTATCTAACTAGGATTACGCCAATTAATTAATCAGCGGAAATTCTATCTGCCTTGGTCTCGCCTTCAATGGTGGGGGGACCTCCGTCCCCTGCGGCTATTTCCTTTTACTTGGCCTTGGCTTGTTGTTCTGTCGGTTTTCGGCCAACGAAAAACTTGACTTCACTTCGCAATGGTCTGTTTTTGGCCGATGTCTGCGAAAGTTTTCGCCTGGCTACTGACTACTGACCGAGAAGTTTGCGACCTTCATGGGGCTACTTAGTATATATGTTCTGTGGCTTTCTTCTGGCGCAAAGTTTTCATGTTCCACGCCATATGGACCACGTTTTACTCCAAGGCTTATGTTTATTCATTTTCAACGTAGCCCGGGGATCTTAAGAAACCCCAAAACAAATTGCTTATTAATTGTGAACCAAAGTTTGCGGACCAAACTCAAATATAAAACGTTTTACAATGGTATTATGTTTGGGACTTTGTGGTAAAAGTTACTAAATGAGCAAATTAAGTAATAAAAAATGAACAAATTAAATAAAATACAATTTTAGGATGCAATTGTAAGAAATTTAAGATTTAAATACAGCTGAATTTTTGACATCATTTTTATTTAATTATTTTCACCTAAGTAATTCTGGAATTTCTGGAGGAAGAAGCCAACTTGACCACTGTACACAGCACTTAATAATAAATTATTGAAAAGACAATGCAGTCCAATGCTATGTGCATTTGAGTGATAGTTTTTTGAACTTTTCGGACGCTTCTCAATATTGCGGTCTCAGCTGTCCCATCAAAATGCCCGCTCATTGAAAATTCAATTTAATTATATTTCTGGTGCTGGCACAAACGATAAATTGAGTTTATATGAATTACGCTTCTCTCTTTTGGTCTCACGTTATGGGAAAGTTAATTGCTCGTAGTTGTTGCTGTCATGTTTTGTTGTTGTGCTGCTTTCCTTCTCCGCTGGCTTTTCCTTTATTTTTTACTCGCCTTTCATTTTTCACCCGCCGGATGGCGAATCATTTTTTTCGCACGCCGAGCAGTGCGAAGAAGGCAAACAAGCAAACGAGCAGAATTTCATATAGTTGATTGCATTGTCTGCAGGAAGATGTTCACACGATGAGGCGGGGGCGGAGGATGCGGGGCGTGGCAGGAGCTAGACTCATGAAATGCTGATAGCATGCGCTCAATATTGTCAGTAAATAATATGCGCTTGTTAGAGCCAGCTGCAGACGGACTAAAAAGGACACTGAAAAATCGGTTATTTAATGGGGGGAAAAATAAATCAAAAATAAACAAACATCTAAGTTAAGATAGAAACTCATCTTCAACTAACTTTCACTAAATAATAAAAGTTCATTTTAAAGAAATTGCAGTTCCAATGACAAGATTTTTTAAAATACAGAAAATGTATTAATTTCTTCCTGTGCACCATAACAGTTAATAATGCAGATGCTGAAACCCTTTGCTCGTAACTAATCAATCTTTCTTCTCTTTCTTTCCTTTCACCCTTTTTGCAGAAACCGCACCGTGCAACATGTGACGTCACAGGCATAAAGTATGGAAAGCATATCAAAATATTTGCCATTTAGCTGGTTTAGCAGGCAATGTCCCATAGGCAGCCGCCGACCGCCGACTGGAAATTAGCAGGCAGTTACAGTAACCGAATCGAAATGAAGGGAGGGTGGTTCTGCCACGGAGGAGGAGGAGGAGGATCGGGCAGGATGGCCAGCATGAAGGGACGACACTCGACACCAGCTGCAGACCGCAGCAGCAACAACAGCAAGAGCAGAGGCAAAGGCAGTGTCCACTCTGGCATTCTGTTATTTGTGCTGACAGCGCTGACACTAACGAGCTTAATAACGCCCACAGAGCAGCTGGCAGTGGCGCCGAATGGAACCATTCCGCAGCAACTGGAGCCGGAGCCCGTGGAATCCGCGTCGTTGCCATCCACGGCTGTCGACTACTACAACAGGCTGGTAAATGGCAGCCTCAATGGAACAATGGTGGCGCCCAATGCGCGACCCCACCTGAACCACAAACATCGACCGACGCACCAGAATGGCAGCCACTATCTGGACTACGAGGAGGACATGGACGCCGACTGCTCGTACAGCTACAACTTCATCCTGAAGCTCATCACGATGATCCTGTACGCCCTGGTCTGCATCATCGGGCTGTTCGGCAACACGCTGGTCATCTACGTGGTGATGCGCTTCTCCAAGATGCAGACGGTCACGAATATCTATATCCTGAACCTGGCCATCGCCGATGAGTGCTTCCTGATCGGCATCCCCTTCCTGCTGTACACCATGCAGGTGGGCAACTGGTCCTTCGGCAACTACATGTGCAAGGCCTACATGGTCAGTACCTCGATCACCTCCTTCACCTCGTCGATCTTCCTGCTGATTATGTCGGCGGACCGCTACATAGCCGTGTGCCACCCCATATCCTCGCCCCGCTACCGAACGCCCTTCGTCTCCAAGTTGGTCTCGGCCTTCGCCTGGATGACCTCTGTGCTGCTGATGCTCCCTGTGATCCTCTTTGCCAGCACTGTCCAGTCGAGCAATGGCAATGTGTCCTGCAACATCGAGTGGCCCGACACCCAGAACTCGCACACCGACTCCACCTTCATCCTGTACTCCCTGGTCCTGGGCTTCGCCACTCCGCTGACCTTCATCCTGGTTTTCTACTGCCTGGTGATCCGCAAACTTCACACTGTAGGACCCAAGCACAAGTCCAAGGAGAAGAAGCGGTCGCACAGGAAGGTCACCAAACTGGTGCTAACGGTAAGTCATTTTTGGAGCTGCTAGTCAAAAGCTTGGCCAAAATTTGATTTCAAAAAGTAATACTTAACTATACCCATACCAGTAACTAAATTTCATTTAATCAAAATTTTAAAAATATTTAAAACTAAATTTTTGGAGATTAAATAGTTTGTTGGTGTATTTTTTGTTAATTTAACAAACATACTATCCACTGGAAATTAGTATTGATGTTTCAACGCACCACCGAAATCCAATGGTGCCAACCCCTTAAATATTTTAAATTTAAAATTTTATTCAACCCTAAAGCCTAGTACTCACTTCAATCAAAAAGGCAACGAAATGAAAATTTCTATACAAAAATGAGAGGCGAAAAATTTCGTTATCAAAATTTTGTATGGAGATTTTCATTTCGGAGGCTTTTTGATTAAAGTGAGTACTAGGCTTAAAACATAAAAATATTTACTTGTATTATTCCACAGGTGATTAGTGCGTACATATTCTGCTGGCTTCCACACTGGATTTCTCAGGTAATTTTTTTAAATAAGTTAAGGTGTAAAGTAAACAAGAAAGGAAACTAACTTCGGCAAGCCGAAATTTATATACCCTTGCAGATCGTTCCCATAAAAAAAAAATATTAATTTTAAAATATTAGAAAAATTATACATTTAGATTTATTAGCTTATAGTTTCCAAAATAAATAAAAGGCTATACAAAAGCAGCGGTTTATATGGCAGCTATATAATAAAGTCGTCCGATTTTTTAAAAATTACATAAATAGTTCTAAAGTATTATAAAATTCGAAATCTCGAAATCTGTTGCGTACCCTCCCCTTTAGAACCTGTGTTTTTTTTATCATTTATCAGGTGGCTCTGATCAGCTCGGCCCCGCAACGCTGTGCCTCTCGCCTGGAGCTGGCCGTCTTCCTGGCCTGCGGATGCCTCAGCTACTCGAACTCGGCCATGAACCCCATCCTGTACGCCTTCCTCAGCGACAACTTCAAGAAGAGCTTCATGAAGGCCTGCACCTGTGCGGCGCGCAAGGATGTGAATGCCCAGCTGCAGCTGGAGAACAGCTTCTTCCCCAAGTTCGGCAAGGGCAGGCAGTCGGAGCGGCTCCTCGGGGGCGGCGGAAAGGGGAACGGACAACGTGGGGCACTGGCCAAAAAGAAGGCTTTGGCGGCGGCGCGGAACAACAATGCTCCGATGGCCACCACAACGACCACGACAACGACCACCACGGCGGGCACGGATGCTGTGACCTGCCTCCAGCTCCAGCCGGCGGTTCACCAGGTGCCCGTCGAGATCCAGGCGGGCAATCCGGCCACCGTGCTGGTGGTGAACGCCGAGACCAACAACTGTAAGCCCCCCGTGCTGCACACAGACTTATAAGACCGGGCTCCCTCGATGCCCCTGGAAACGGTGGTGTTCATCGCCCGGAGGTGAGATCGGCAGATGGAACTGGAACTCGACGTGGGCGCAGATCGTCGACTGATGAGCCAGTCGGAGTGCTTGCTGTAGGCTAAGCTCTCAATGAGATGATATTGATATTTTATACCACTAAGGTAGGGCTATGCGGAAACGGAAAAAATAATACGATTTTTACAAGGTGGAATCTCAAGGAACGTATGCTGATTTACAAATGGTTTTTATTTACATTATTGCCAACGAATACAAGTAGTTAAGTACCAACTTTTAAAAATAATTAATTGATTCCAAAATATAAAACATATTGATTTCACAAATATTTATTTTGTTATCAACAAACTTGTAGAAACTTTTCAACAGTTATTAGCTGATGAGTAAATAAAAATAAATTCTGAATTTATATTTAATAAATCCATAGGCCAAAATAAGTTTTTTAATTAGATTCTTATCCATATAAAATTAAAAGTAACCAAGCCTTAAGGGCAGAATAATATCATATGTTCACCGTTTTCGCATTGGCAAGCTTATCAGATAGATATTTCTATAAGTTTTTCGAGTTATAAAGTGTGCATAATTTTATGGTCGTTTTCAAATTTACATACTCCGCTAGAATAAGCTTGAAACCTTTTTAAAGTTGGAAAGTTAGCATAAGTTTGTGTAGCTGGTTGTGGAGCAGTTGGGAAATAGAAAAAGTTACATAAGTAAGCCAAAGATTTAATCTTAATGTTCAAGGAAAGACTTTGAAATGCAGCAAATATATTATTGTTCGATTAAAGTCGAAAAATTTGCAAGGGCTAAGAGAAATAAAAATTTAAAAATCAGCCAAAAAAATTCCATATTTGCAAATAATTCCATTGGAAATAAAACTTACGAAGTATTCAATGAAAACTCTATAAATCGAATTATCTGCAATGTGATTGTACAAAATAAAACATGAGCGAAAAAACTGGAAAATTTGCATAACGATTCATAGCAGTAAACTTAAATGAAGCTTAATTAACCGTGTATATTATAATTTACATTAAGCTAAACGTTTTTTAAGCACATGCGTGCATTAACTCAATTGTGCAGCCAATAATGATAATTGAATTCAATGAATGCTAATGAAGTAATAAAAACATACTTGAACTGTGGCCATAAATAATAAATAGTGTCGAAAATATAGCGAACAAATACAGTTACAATAGATTCCTCCTCCATTGTTTGCGTAACCCAAAATAGTTGTACAACAAAACTGTTCAAACAAACTCACAGTAAACTAATGTTAGTATTTATCATTGACTTGAATATTGTAAACAATAGCCAGAATTATCGTTGGCAAATGTGGGAATTCACTTTTCCCCATAGCGTATTTGTACTTTTGAAGGTAAACTTAGGCTAATCCGTACATAAAATAAATTATTGAAATGTGTATTTGTTAATTGTCCAAAAAATACAGGAAAACAAAAGAAAACCAAAAAATATACTTGTAACATTTTTCAATTTTAAGTGTAACTTGATTGAAGCTAAACGTATTTGCTATAGATAAATGTAAGTGGAATTTAAGGGCTTAAAAATTGAAATACAAATAAACAATATTTTAAATGAATTCACAAGCTACCAAAGCATTTTTTTCTTTCGCTTAAGCAGGTATCAAAAATAATTGTTTGTTTATTTTCACATGCAACTCCTTTGTTTGTCTTGATTTTATATTGCTCTGATTGCTCGGTCGTGTGTGATATATTAAATATATACGTATAGTTATGGCAGAGGGTTTCCATTTGAAATGGAGACAAACAACAGGAAAATTGTCAACATAAAAACAAAAACTATTTTCATGCTTCGTCTAATGTTCCGACCATTTTTGACCATTCCCAACCTCCACAGGATACAAAAGCAATATAAAACGGGCGGCAAGTAAGGTGGTGCTGGAATATTGCAAAGAAAATGCAATGAAAAAGTCCGGAGCATATAATGAAAGCTGCACAAAAACTGAACTAAAGGAAATGTGAAGGAAGCAACATAAAATCTTTAACTGACAGGCAAAGAAATTGTAGTAGCAGGCATGAGAAGAGAAAGTGGGAAAAAGTATCCACAGGACAATGACTTTTTGGGCAGATGATGGTAAAATAAAATAACAAGAAAAATAAGTAAAATCAGCTTGGCAATAAATTATAATATATTGTAAGATAAGATATACAAATTATATACTTCATAGTCTCTTTTATTTAACACCATTTGAAAAATAATACATAGTTTTTTTTGTTTCGGTGCAACAGAATGATAGTTTTCCAATCGTTTTTCACGTCAGTCTTGATTTTACTTGCACTTGGAGAAGGTCATGTACATAGGTGGCATATTGATGGCCCCGCCTTCATTAGCAGGCAGAGCAGGATCCAAAGCAGGGGATTATGTGGAGCCCGCCTGCATTCTGATGCACCCAGCCATATGCCCGGCAACTTGGAGTTGAGTTTTAATGGGAAATGGCAGACCGATGCAAATCCCCCTGCCTTTCGACCTGCGAACCCAGTCAGCTGAAGTTTAAGGTCAGGGCAGAGCTGGAAAAGCACTTACTATGGGAACCGGGGGGCTGTTTGGCAGACAGACAACTTATTGCCATATTGATGGAAAAAACTCAGCTGTCAGTTGAATTATGAAAACAGCTCCTCCGTCTTCGATCGCTTTCTGTGCATTTTCAAAGTCAAAGGCGTTGTGGAGATACATATATGTAGGTATAGGTATATATTTGTGTATCCATGGTCCAGACTTCAAAGAATCGGATAGTAAATCGTCCATATTTTGACCTAATTTATTCCCGGCTATATACGAAATCAAATTAATGCTTCACACTTCATAAATCGGGCAATGAAAATGAACAGATAAAAAGGCATCCAGCTGAGGTAGAAACGATTTTCATTCGAAGCTAAAAATACAACCAAGTCGCTTTATAAATACATTAGCACCTCAATCAGTCGGATAATGACGTTGGCCAAACAAATACCGCACTTGAGTACACACATTGCATTGCATACGAACCTAAATGGAAATCGTTTGGGAAAAAACCGAATTCGCAGCCAGGTGGATCGTGCCAGACGCAAAAAAAATACACCTATGAGGCTAATAAAATAAACATTAAATGCGTATTTTAAAGAACGATGAAACACACTTTCTTCTTTTGTTGCTAGATGATGTTGGCTTAATTATAGTTTCAAGATTTCAATGCACCCAAAAAAAAAACATGCCGTGGTCAAATCGATATAAATTTCTCTTTCTCGGTGATTTTCTGACTTCGAAAAGGAGAGGAAGAAGCAATATGGAAACTTAAATTAAGTGAGTTGGAGCGAAAAGCGCTAAATCTCTCTTAATCCGAAATAGAGCGAGTTAGCGCTTAAAGTTACGTGAGTGAGAGCATTACATTTCGAGCATATCGAATTGAAGTGCCCACATATCAAGTCAAAATTGATACCACATAACATTAAATTGATTATCGTTTCAGATAGTTTTTTTAGGTGTATCTCTCAAGTTTCCAAACTCAAATATTCAGTCATCAATAAAGTGCACATTTAATTTAAATTGGTGCACAAAGGAAATAATATCGTTAGGACCCAACGCAAAAGCGGTTAAGCAACTTTAAGCAATTCATAATTTCCCCACTGACACTTGCAGCTTTTGAGGTGGGCGGATGTGGGCGGTGGGTCGTTTAACCCTTTCTTGCCCGGCACAGCCACCGAGGAAATTGCGCAAATTTTGCCACCAAATTGAAAAGTTCTCGAGCGTTTCCAGCCACTTCCCCGGTCCTCTTGTGTGCGCTCCATTTGATTGTGGTTCTCGCTTCTGGTTTATGTTTTATGATTTTTCCTTTTGTTGCTGCCTGATGATTGCCACGATTCCGATACTTGGCTGAGCAAATTGAAAGTTTTTCCGCAATTTTTGTTTTGCGGCCACTCGAGCGTTCGGCATTTTCGCACACTAAAACTATTTCCATATAGTCCTTATTTCTTCTTATCCCACTTCTTGGCATTTGCAAATTGCTGAAAAGTCCAAAGTCGTTGAGTTGGACCGTAAATTTCCAAGCAGTCGTTTCCTTAGTTATAGTAATTGGGGCCCAAAATGCATTTTCCATCCGAATCCCTGGCTTCGATTTAAGACCATAATAACGGGGCAACTTTCAATGGCTCACTAGCAAATTTGATAAAATTTGTATGGAATACTTTGGCATAAGGGAATCGGGAGAGATGCGAAGGGGCAGCCACCGAATGATTGATGATTAAGTCAGCTTCCGAAAAAGTATTAACAGCGAAGGATACAAAATGTATTGAGTATGCTGAGAAGACCCTTTTTGTATACTCTTCAGATCATTTAAAATATTTTGGGAGAATTATAATTATAATTTCCATTATAAGTATAATGGAAAACAATAATTTGATTTGCTGAATCCTAATCTAAATAAGTATTTTTTCGTTTGACCCAACAAAATATGATCAATATTACAAAAAATTATTTAAAATATTTATTTATTATTTATTTATTTTATTTATACCTTCAAAATTTTAATTTTTTTCGTTTCTTTTTCTTCAAAAATTCTCAAAATAAATCCATCATCCATTTCAAACGGGTCACTAAAGTCGCTTCATCCTTCAAAAGAAATTTCCTGTGCAAACGACAAACACGCAGCGGGCATAAAAGTCAAACTCGAATCGATCAACATTTTTGTAGCATTTTTTCCACAAAGATGATGATGAATATAGGAAAAAGGAGAGATTAGGGCACCAGGCGCCAAATAGATGGGGCACCCCCATGGTCAGGCAGTTTCTTCCGTAAACAACGCCACATGCCGAGGATTCCGTTTCCTTTTCTCTTCTTTATTTCCCGTACCAATTCCAATATTTATGTTTTTGCTCTTGAGCCATAAAGATGCCTGAAATATGCTGCTCATATACATATACGATATATGGAGTGTTCTCTACCAGGTCGTGGTCTGCTTTTAGGCGTCACCTAGGAAGAGGCGGGAAAGCAAAATCGTCCCAGCAAGGACAAGTAAATTACTAGCCAGCGGGTAAGCGTGACTCCCCCTACTCTCCTCTGACTGCTTCCACTGCCTTAGGACTGTACTGAAAAAAACACTGGTGGAATAAGAAAATGTTAAAGTCCTAGAAAAGAGAAGTAAAATAAATTATGAGGAGAAGCTATCACACTTCGAATTATAATTTACCCATTTTTATAAGACAAACAATGAAACAAATAGGTAAAATCCCCAAAAAAAAAAATAGTTTAAAGGGTAACAACATTAAATAAGGGTTTATGTTTATGCCGATTTTGAAAATACTATTAAAATATTAGTTAAAAAATGAAATATATATATTATTACATTTTTTTTGGTTCTTAAAAAATGCCTGTTAAAAACACCTATAATATTTATAAAAGACAAACAGATTAGTTTAATAGGTAAAAAGATGCTAAGCCGAATCTGATACACATAGTTGGTAAATTTGTTTAATTACTTAAAAATCATGTATAAGGAATCCTTAAAGTAGCTTTAAGATTTTTTCTCAGTGAGCGACTGTCCCGGACTGGCCATCAATTATAACAAGTGCTCGGCCAGTACAAATTGAAGGCGTAAATTAGCCCCGTCCCGGGAAACTGTCAGAGGGCCTCGTCCCCTTCCCTATCCCATTTCCAGCCTCAGCGACGTTTCAAGTGGCGGGACGGCCACTCCTTGGTCGAGTGGGTGTCAATTGTGCTTATTGAAAAATATGGCACGCTGCCGGGAATAGGCAATCGCCGTAAAGAGATCCCGGAAAATGTCCCTTTAAGCCGACCGAGTTCCGGGAAATTTCATGAAAACATTACGGTTTAGGGTTCGCCTAAGCCTCAAGAGCCGAATGGCAAACAAGAAATCGTTTTTCGTCTCGAATTTCAACGCCCTGAGATAGCATCTTAATTACCCATCCACACACGCTAAAGGGCGGACGAAAGTGGGAGAACTTGGAGACAAGTCAATGACCCGGCTGGGATAAACCGATGGCGGTCAACTCCACTTTAATATGGCTCACACAAACGTACTTTCGGTTTTTATATTGAGCCAC